ACTAGAAGCTAGAAGGGACATTAGGTGAATCCTGGGGAATACAGAAGTATCAATACACACAGAGTGGACAACATCCCTGCCCCTACGGAAAAAAAAATCCCAGTGAGGACACTCTCCAGAAGCCATGGAACATTAAGTTATGATTAGAAAAGAAATATGAAAACTTGAGAAAGAATAAGAGGCTTCCTTGATTGAGTCCCTAACACAAAGGTGGGGAAAACTTTGTCAGCCTAGGGGTCACCCCCCTTCATGAGCAGTCATCTGGGGGGGGCTACACCAGTTGCACACAGGGGGTGCAGAGGTAAAAGGGGGGTGGAGCAACAGAGGTGGCGTTTACCTTTGTGCAGCAGGCTGCAAGTCAGCCATAACAAAGTCTGAAGATTCCTACATGCTATCCCTCCAGCCAGACACACAACAGACATTATTGCAGTTTAAGGACACATTTCTTCCGGGCCAAAGTACCCAAGGAGATCGCGGTGTGGCCTGCGGAGAAGTCCCAAATGGAGGCCGGGGTGGGTGGGAGGAGGCTCATTCAGTCCCCACGTCTGAGGGTCCTCACCCAAGGACTCTAAAGGATATGAAGAGGCTCCAAGACAGAAAACTAAATCTTAGTTTCTTATCGACCCTGTGTTGATGGTAAGAAACACTGGCAGATGTTCTTCAAATTCAAGACCCTCTGTAGTGTGTCATGTCAAAACCAGAATGCTGTTTGAAATGTACTACTTCTGTGTCTATTTATTTGGTTGCAAATGAGATTTGCATCATAGCAGAGGGCCTCTGAAGAATCGTTGCCAGCAGGGATGACTAACGGGTGGCCTGCATATGTTGCTGGAATACAACTCCCATCATTCATGACCACTGGCCATGCTGGTTAGGGCTGATGGGATCTGGAGTCCAACAGCAACTGGAGAGTCACAAGTTAGCCAATCCAATCTCAGAGTGACACCTGTAAAGAAGCACTCCTGTTGGAGACTAAGGATATACACAACATTATGTTGCAGGTCCCAGCAAACCATGCTTTGCTCTAGGAAGCAGCAAAAGAGGGAGAGTGCTCATCCGAAGCTGGTTTAGGATCACTTTAAAACATTGAGTAAGAGAGTCAGTGCCTTCTGTTTGCAGCAACCTTAGCTGGAGCAATGGCGATTATTTTGAAAGCAGAGTCTTGATCGAAACAGAAACGCGGTTTACTAGTATTTCAATGTGAGGGCCACTTCTGCAAAAGCTGAGAGAAACCAGCTTCTTTTGTTTCTTCAAAGTCCCCATTAGCACTAACAAAGGAAAGGGAAACTTTGGGACAGAAACCAATATCTGAATTTGGTGTGTATGTTCTGCTGCGGGCGCCAGGTGGCGCTGCCCAGCCCTCAACCTAGGCTTGCATTTTACATGCCACACAGACTTAAGAACATGGAGGAGAAGGATGGAAGGGAACAACTAATTTCAGACAAAGCTTCCAAAACTCACTTACAGGCAGTAAACCCTTCAGACTGGCGGCGGTGGGGTTTTTTTGTTTTGTTTTTTGCAAGTGTATTCTGGAAGGTGTCACTGATGCAACAATGGAGCATTAGGTGTGATTTACACTGAACCGTCGACACGTCATTCCACTTTACTAGTTGCTTCTGCTAGGCTCCACCAATGTTTCTGCATTATTGCCATCTGAGTAACACAGACTCTGGTTCAGGCAACAGCCAGAACTGTTGGCTCTAAGCAATCAGCACCAAACCCACAAAAAACTGCAAGCACCCCCCCCATACAGCCCCAACATGCCATTTCCTCTGAAGCACCATGTTACCAGAGCCATGGCCAAGAAGAAGAAGAAGAGTTTGGATTTGATATTCTGCTTTATCAATACCCTAAGGAGTCTCAAAGTGGCTAACATTCTCCTTTCCCTTCCTCCCCCACAACAAACACTCTGTGAGGTGAGTGGAGCTGAGAGACTTCAGAGAAGTGTGACTAGTCCAAGGTCACCCAGCAGCTGCATGTGGAGGAGCGGAGACGCGAACCCGGTTCCCCAGATTACGAGACTACCGCTCTTAACCACTACACCACAAGCCTTTTCAAGGAAGCTGGCCTTCCAAACAGGGCTCGCTTATTGAGTTGCCACCACTGACGTCCACACTTATTCCAGGCAATTCCAGGTTTGAAAGCTGTTGCGCCGCGGGTGGGGGGCTTCCCACAGACCTGTTTACTGAGCTTTCATCCCCATTTGCCGCACAAACCTTTCACGGATGTTAAGACTATATACCCAGCCTTCACTGAGAATACGTTCCAATTTTTTATGGAGCGGTTATATGACAATGAGCATTCCCCCTGAACTACTTTCTGCAGTGTTTGCACGTCTTCCTGTTAATTATTCATTCTTCCCAGTTTTCAGTGCATTTCCTGTTACTTTTCTAACCACAAAAAGTACCAGGGCAATAAGAGCACTTAGTTTCACTTTTATTACACAAAGCTATCAAGTTCTGGTAAGTATTTCCATCCCTCCTGCAAAATACTGACAGTCTAGAGGCAACCTAAGAGCCACTTCCCTTCGTGTTTACCATAGGACGATCTGATGATTAGCCACCCTCCGTCCTCCTCCAAATGCCCTTCCCACAATCCATCATGGCTCCCCACCAACACAGAGAAACACTTCCATGCACCCCTTTAAATAATAATAATAATAATAATTTATTTATATCCTGCCTATCTGGCTAGGTTTCCCCAGTCACTCTGGGCAGCTCCCAACAGAATATTAAAAACACGATAAAAGTTTGAACATTAAAAACTTCCCTAAACAGGGCCTGCCTTCAGACGTTTTCTAAAACATCTGATGGGAGGGTGCTACTACCGAGAAGGCCCTCTGCCTGGTTCCCTTTGGCTTCACTTCTTGCAGTGGGGGAACCGCCAGAAGGCCCTCAAAGCTGGACCTCGGTGTCTGGGCTGAACCAAGGAGGTGGAGACTCATTCAGGTATACTGGGCCGAGGCCGTTTGGGGCTTTAAAGGTCAGCACCAACACTTTGAATTGTGCTTGGAAACGTACTGGGAGCCAATGTAGGTCTCTTATAGTGTATAGCAGGTCTTTTCCAAATGTTTCACAGGAAAAAGGTATTGCAAAGCAATGTTCACTTGTTCAAATTATGTCATCCTGTTTTCTCAGTCACACATACTCAGTACTGCACCATTCTCTCAGTCGATGTCTCTTTTTTTAAAGGAAAATGAGTAGGCATGAACACCTGAATGGAAGTACCAAATATGATCTCCAGGACTGCTTGGTGGATTCTGGGATATTGTCCAGAAATCCAAGCGTAAACAAAAATGTGCTCAGCGACCACATTTTAATATAAGGGGCCACATGAAAAGGATGTCTGAGCAGCTTACACAGAGCTGGAAAACCGCAGGCTGCATCCTTGCCACAAGGTAATACATGTATTTTTTATTATTATTAAAAAACCTAGCGTGCAAAGAATTCTTTTTATTAAGCACTCTAAAACAAGGTGGCATTCTACCAACAAATGCAGGTCCCTGACTACTGGCCATCTTCCTTCCTTCACTATGTTAGCAAAGTTACTTAAATAATGCAGACACAGAGTCTAGAGAGAAAAGAAATCCTGGCAACACTTTACTGAAAAAATTGAACGAAAACACTGAGGAGAAATAAACAGAGAGGTGACATTCAACCAAACATAGAGAGGAAAAACTCCCTCAAAACTACATAGCCAATCAGGGCACAACAAGCATAAGGCCACTCTTCCTCGTTGTTAAGCAACACCTTCCCCCCCCCCCCCCCCGGTTAATTGATAACAGAACTAACTGGTAAGCTCCAAAATGAATGTGCTCTTGCACTTCCAACATACCCTACAGCCAATTTCAAGCAGGTGGAAAGGATAATGCAAATCTCACAGCACAACACTTCACACCACACTTTTGGCTTGCTTGGTGACTGGAGTTGTGATCTCTACAGGTGTACAAGCATCACATGGTTCATCCCCCCAAAAGGAGGCTAAGGTTTTGCAAGTGCTCAATTAGACTAGCTAAAGGTTCAAGGTCACTCACAGGAATACCAAACTTGCTCACCGAAGCACGGACAAGTGACCCTTCTGGTCCAATATCCTGTTCTCACAGTGGCCAAACAGATTCCTCTTTCCCTAAAGCCCCCAAATTGACCTTTGAAGAAGAAAGCGGCAGCAGCTGCTCCCAGGAGCCCAGCAGATCATCCTTCCCCACTAGGAACAGGACACTAATTAGAGTTGCCATATTTAAAACAGTTAAAATCCAGACAGAGAATTTTTATGTTTTGCCAAAGTTGTTGAGCTTTTTTGTCAAAATAGCAAAGAAAGACATTTCTGGGCCCTTTTAAAGAAAATTGGCAAAAACGACACTGCCATACATTGCCAAAAGTCCAGATTTTCACTGACATTTTCCCGATTTCCACCCAGACCCTGCTTATGACTGCGGTATTCCGGATATATCCAGGAAATTCCAGACTTTGGCAACCCTACACTAATCCCAGGGGTTAGGCCTGAGTAACCAAAGTTCAAATCCCCACTCAGCCATGAAGGAGGAAGAGAGCACAATGGTAGTACATCTCCTTTACATGCAGAAGGTGTCAAGGTTCAATCCTTCCAAAACGTTCAGAAACCAAGCCACGGCTTCCAATTGGATGCAGGAAGCTCCTGCAGCCAATCAGAAGCCGTGTCAGACTTTCAGGTTCCAAAGAACGTTCGCACACTGGAACACTCACTTCCAGGTTTGTGGCATTCAGGAGCCAAAACGTTCAACTCGCAAGGCATTCGGGATTCAAGATATGACTGTACTCTAAATTATATGCTGCTTTCAGTAAATCTTGGAATCGAGTCCAGTTTAACTTCTCATCAACAATACTATAATTTCAAACAAATGCAATTGTTTCTCAGTAGCATGGATTTTCAAAGGACATTTGGTTATTAGGTAAAAAGAGTATCGAAGTTTAGTTTCAATAACCCACATGGATGGAAAAAGTAGGTTAAAAAGTTTTACTCACATACAACGGAGCTTGCTGTGGATTAAGTTTCATGACCCAGAACGCTGAAAAAGAAAGGAAAGGAAAAAGAAAAAATGATTACCAGAATAATTTTCCAACATCCACATCACAAAAATAACATCCATTTGATGAAGTGAAATCTAGTACATAAAAGCTTGTGCTTATGTGTTAAGGTTTCACAAGATTCGGTCCAATATTTTCAAAAAAGAACAAACCCTAAAAATTCATACATTATTTCCAAGATCATTCATGGTCATGCTTAAAAATACTTTGAAGGTGTTATTTTACTCAGTTTCACAATGGCAAATGTTTCTGTTGGGTTGTGTTTTTTTTTAGTCAAACACAGTGGGACAAATTAGAGAAACATCATCTGAAGGTTTTCAAGAAACGAAATGCTGAAATAGATTTACACCCTTAAGTGTGGTGTAGTGGTTAAGAGCAGTGGACTCGTAATCTGGTGAACTGGGTTCACTTCCCCGCTCCTCCACATGCAGCTGCTGGGTGACCTTGGGCTAGTCACACTTCTCTGAAGTCTCTCAGCCCCACCCACCTCACAAAGTGTTTGTTGTGGGGGAAGAAGGGAAAGGAGAATGTTAGCCACTTTGAGACTCCTTTGGGTAGTGATAAAGCGGGATATCAAATCCAAACTCCTCCTCTTCTTCTTAAGAGAACAATCCTAAAGTCATTATTGACAATCACAGTTGACACAGATGCATACCTAAGTCACAGTACTCAACTAGCTGCCTTTGAATGTGACAGCTACACCTGTCAATGCAAATGTACCTCTCCTTCCAGGGTTGCTAGATGCAGAAAAACAGCAGAGACAAAACCAGGGGTCTTGAAATATGCAAACACCTTTTATGTGGCCGAGGTCTGGAGCATGCCAATAGCTGCCATTAGGAACTTCACTTTCAACTTTCCCCACACACCATCTGCTTAACTTATCAGAAAACTGACCTATCACTGGTTAACAAGAAACATTTAAAGTATGCCCCTAGTGTCCCAACTAAAAGAATGTCCACATTGCCTGGGAGAATATGCAAAGCAAAACTTTAGGCACACAAGACAACATAGTTGTGTGTTTATTTGCTGACCTCAACTGATACTGAATCAATGCGAGAGAGAAACTCATCAGGATCTCCAGAACATGCAGCTGCCTCTTTCTGCCTGACCTCTAACCTAATCAAATCAGGATCTCTGAAATGATTTAATCTACTTAAAGTCCTAAAGGAAGGTGTCAAATGCCCAAGGCACTGCCACCTCCACCCATTATCCCTCGTTAGAAGGACTCAAGGTTAGAATCCTCCAGCAGATATCTGCACATTATTTGATACTTCCAGAGTCACACAATGAAGTCATGGTCCGTAAGAAATATTCTCAAATCCATTATAAAGGCAATACTTTTATTAGGCCAACAAAAAACACACGCACAAAACATTGTGCAACCTCTTGTATTCTCCAGAGTTCTTCACTGCCCATCAAGGAACTTGTGTCTAAGGATCTTAGACACAACTGGGTAATAAGTTTTTGTGTCCCCAGGTATGGGGAAACAACCATTGTTGTATTTCTTGTTCTCAGCAAGATGCAAAATTAATGGCTTCAAGTACACCCATTTCCACTTACCACCACCCTGGTCTGTTTACCACCCTAACTATATATAAAAAAATTTCTACACAACATGGAAACTTGGTCTAATAAAGTTCCCCCCCCCTACTTGTTTCATCCTCCCGCCCCCCAGCTGCTTTGTAGTGACCAGCATATGAAATCCAATTTCCATCTGTTTTGGAATCTGTCACAAATTTGATTATTAGTTTTCTTTGTTGCCCAACAGCCAATTTCCCCGGGCATAAACATATAATTTGCCCCATGGCACACTGCGACTCTAGGCTCAAGACCCCAAAATTAAAAACTGTGCCTTTCCATCAGATTACATCAGTAGGGGAGATGGGAACTAGACCTTATTTACTTCATCAATTATGATATGGCAGACCAGCTCCTACCCCTGAACAGTGCAAGCTGGTACATGTAAGAACAACTGTTCAAGAATTGGCGACTGAGCTTGATTTTTCCTCTTCCTCCCCTATTCCATTTCCCTTGTGTGTTGTGTTTTTAAGATTATAAGCCTGTGGGCAGCCACTGTTTCATTTTAACTGACTGTATGTAAGCTACTATGGAGCCTTCTTTACTTGTCCGCAGAGCAGAAGGAAAGGAGGAGCTTTTTCTGCCTCCCCACTTCCAGCCACTATCTGAAGACTGCAGAAGGGACCCTCAATGGGAATATTAAGACTGCATGAAGGGAAAGCATGGCTTTGTTTTTGAAATCTTCAGATGAGGCCTAGACCATGTGAAAAATGAACAAAACATTTTAGCTGTGGTTCACTCATTTTCAGCTTTGTATTTTTGTTATAAAAAAGTGTGCCTAGACATTCCATTGTTGCTCCCATAACCTAGGTTTAAGCTGCCGTTCAGCTCCTCACTATCTCAGTTTCTAACACTGCCTGGCGGGTAGACAGGACCTGTTGTTGGAACAGCCATGCAGCCTCTCATAGCAGATCCTGGAATCCTGATCCCTGGACCTTGTCCCTGAACTGTGATTGGGGAACCTTGAAGCACTTCTCCTAAGTTGTTTTGATCCTTGCCTCATCACTGAAGCCTTAGGGCATCTGGACTGATTCCTGCTCTCCTACTTTTGCTGCGTTTGCACGGTCAAATTGCTAGAATAAAGCTTGGCTTCTTTACTTACAAGAAAGTGCACCTGCTGTTATTCTTGGGCAGGAGCCAGGACTCTGAACTACAGTTTTCCCCTGTGTGAATATAGGGTTAAGTACACACACACATTGCTCTGATCACATTCAGTCTCCCTACTATCCACGGCTACTTCATTAGACTAAGTAAAACTTGCCATCAGTGAAGGCTAATACATATGGGTAAGTGAGCCACAGCCCCACCAACCTCAGTTTGTCACCAACTCATCCTCACCTGGCTACAATCAGCCCAGGAGATGGTCCTGACTATCAGCCAGGTCTCCATGTTGCCCTTGCAGAACTCAGGGAGGAAGATTGAGAATAAACTAGAATCATTTGGCTCAACCAACCATAGGCTCTTGCTCCACTAGCCATTTACTCTGGCACCCCCTACTGCTGGCCTCCCTGCCTTCTGCTCTACTATTCCCCTACTAGCATCCATTGCACTCCATGCATCTCCTGTGTCACACTAAGTTTAGCCCAAAGAACAACTAAGAATAAAATTTTTGGTTGGTTCCAATAAATGGGAAACCTTTGGCCCTCCAGATGTAATTGAACCTTATCTCCCATCAGCCCTAGCAAGCATGGCCAATGATCAGGGGTTATTACCCGATTGTGGAGTTTGATAATCGACTGATAATACTTCCTCTGCTTTTTCTATAGCTAAGCTTATTTGCTATTTCCACTACCCCACTTCCTTGTTTAATCCAGCTAATTTTATTTTTCATTCAAAGTTATTAATGCTTCAATACCGGAAATGAAAAAGTAATTTTAAAAAACAGCATCACTTTAAACTCGTGTATTTAAAAAGCACTCTAGTATCCTTTGGGCATCTGTATAGGTTTCTTAAGAAACACTAAGTTGAACAAGCCTCTTAAAGATTTGTCAAACGCAGGGACGCCTTAGAGTTTCAAAAGCATAACCATACTTGGTTGCCTCTTACCTTGATAGCTCGTAGCTCATGCAAACCTCAGTTATTAACTGTTCCTTAAACGTTTTCAGAATCTGATAAAACTTCTCCATGTATGGCATTAGTATTGCTGTGTTATACAATTGTTATACGATTCTCCCATTTCACTCTCTGCCAGACGTACTACGCAAACAATTTGCTCCTGGTACATTTAACAAGACAGATTCTTTGCTCTGGTAACATCATCTTTTTCTTTTCTTGCAGAAACAGGATGCAGAGATTTATGGGAAGGAATAGAGCACTGTGAATAAGAAAGCATTCCATCCAAAATATTAAGGCTATTTTTAGGAAGGGTTGCATGACAATGCCCAAAATGTTTCCTTTTCAAATTTTGGAAGAAGGCACAACACAACAGGGCCTTGTCCTCTTTTTAGCAGGCATCTGTATTACTGATTTAAATGAGATTTAATAACCATTCACACGCCCCAAGCATGGTGGATGGAAGCCATAGGAATTCTTAGCACCCCTGCCAAACTACATTTCCCAGAATTCTCTAGTGGAATCCATGACAGCTAAACTAGTATAAAACGGTACACATCTTCGGTATACAGTGGTACCTCTAGATGCAAACGGGATCCGTTCCAGAGCCCCGTTCGCATCTAGAAGCAAACGTAACCAGCGACGGCACTTCTGAGCATGCGCATGACATCATTTTGAGCGCTCCGTTACTTCCGGGTTGCCGCGGAGCGCAACTCGAACACGCTCATCCCGAAACACAATCAACCCGAGGTATGACTGCAAATACACCCAGAGCTGTGTATCCTGTTTATTTTCCAAGCTAAAAATATTCAAGTTTTGGAATGGGCAAAAACTACAAATTGAGTCAGTTTTCCGCAAATTAGCACAACTTGCGTATTTGGGTTTTGCTAATCAACCTATCCATTCTGAAGGAAATCAGCCCTGAGTGCTCACTGGAAGGACAGATCCTGGAGCTGAGGCTCCAATACTTTGGCCACCTCATGAGAAGAGAAGACTCCCTGGAAAAGACCCTGATGCTGGGAAAGATGGAGGGCACAAGGAGAAGGGGATGACAGAGGATGAGATGGTTGGATAGTGTCCTTGAAGCTACCAGCATGAGTTTGACCAAACTGCGGGAGGCGGTGGAAGACAGGAGAGCCTGGCGTGCTCTGGTCCATGGGGTCACGAAGAGTCCGGACACGACTAAACGACTGAACAACAACAACAACAATCAGCGGGAGGTAAGGAGCAGCTATGCAGGGCAGCCGATGACAAACCTCTTGAGGCGTAATTTCAAATCACATTTCTAGTATCTCTGGTTTTAATAAGCATTACTCATGCCGCATCTTATCACAATGCAAGAGTACTAAAA